AAAAACCAAGCCCCGCGGCGCGGCCCCGGCCCCGGCCCGCGGTGAAGCCAGGTTAGGGGGGACCGGGGCACCCCTGCCCCGGGACCGGGGGTGCCGGGGAGCAGCCCCGGTTGCACGGACCTCACCCGCGCGGTCCCCCGTCTCTGATTGTTACAGCGCGGGTTTTTTTTCCCGCTTTTATGAACATGGGAATGCGTGAAAGCAGAGCGGAAAATGATCTCCTCGGGGGGTCCTCCTGTAACCTGCCACCAGACGCTGTTTAAGCAGAAAACCTGTTTATTTCCGACCAATCCCGCGTGCTCTGAACGGCAGGGCTTTCTCTTTCTCTTTCCTCTCTCCCCGCTACCTGTATTAAAACCGCCGTCAGAATAGAGGATGCAATTGTTTGCTCCCTCAGCCCGCTCCAGGACGTGAAGCTTCTGGAAGTTTTTTTCGGTACGGAGGAGGTATTTCCCCATGTACGGTAGAATCAGATCCGTTTATTTTTATTCCTGCCAAAGTTGGTCTTTTTTGGGGGACAGTTGCAAAGTCCCGTTCTGTGCAAATAAGGCGCCTACAGACTACCCCTGCTGCATCTGCCTGTGCTAACCCGGAATAATTCCTCCTCCTGACACCGTGCTCATGAACTTTCATCTCCCACATGAGCACGTGTTACATTTCTCTGACTTAGTGATAGTTATCAAGGCTTGTAAGCAATTAATTATAACGCTATATTGAGTCTTCTGTTAATTTCAGAGCCAGCTTCTTAATGCAACACAGCAGTCTCTGTGTGAGTTTGGGAACAATGACTAGCCTGCTACAAAGTACCTTAGACCTTTGAAGATACGGAAGAAAGTCTGGAGTAAAAGTAATTTAGAAAACCCAAAGAAACAGCAAAACAAAAAATCTCCCAAACCAACCAACCAACCAACCAAAAAAAAAAACCCCAACCCAAAACTCCACAAAAAACCCCGCAAGTTTTATGCGACCTTAGCTTTATGTGGCTTTATGCTAGTTCTGGTATCAGTCCATTCTAATAATAGAAATAGGGAAAAAGAGCAGATGTTTGGGGGATCCAAGAAAATCTGTGTTGCAGAAAGAGCTGACCTAACAATCAAAGTGCAAGCTGTTTTAACAGACAGTCAGCTGTGGGAATATCAAGGAAGCAAATTTTGTTCCAAAGTATTAGACCAAGTTTTCCAGTCAAGTTATTAAGTCGAGGAGGACGGCTTCTCTCTCTCTCACCCGTTTTATTTTTATTTGGTCCCTTTACAATGTTTGCCTCATGATCCTTAATGTATAAATCGGCAAGGAAAAATCGGGGTATGCATTGCTCCAAGTTCGTAGCAGCTTTATTTATTGAGGTAGATTTTACCGTGAATGCATGCACGGTTCTCCCAGTGCACTGTGTTTCATGTGTATCTGTATTTTCACTGCATCTCTGTAGATCTGGGTATGTATCTGTCTCTGCATGCAGATTATTCGATGAATACTCCCCATCGCTTATACCGGTAAGAAAACAGTTTCCATAGTTTCCTCAGGGCTGGCAAAGTGAACGCTTGAATGCAGGCAATTCGAAATAGAAGGTGTGGAAAAAACCCCAAACCACCCAAAACCCACAAACATAAAAAATGTCTGAGGACGAGATTTCTTTCTAAAAGAGAAGCTAGCCTAGAACATCCTCACGTGAAGCTTACGAGTGGTGCAAAAAATACCTTTGGCTAGAAGCAGCGGGTTGTATATTCTGAACACAAAATCAATATATTCGTACCTGAAAATACAGAAATTTGGGATTAATACGTGCATGCAATATTCCTACAATCAGTGCCCACATAAGGACATTTATAACGTATCTTCCCAAATCCTTCTTTATTTAACGATTGCTGCTTTGTGCCCGTTAAACAAACGAAAAGCCTGATCTCGGCAATTCCCGTGAGGAGGTGGGGACAGCCCCCGCAGCACGCTTTCCGCCTGGCCCTTCCCGCTCCGTGAGCCTGGTGGGGAGGGGGCGTTCAGATGAGGAAAAAGCGTAGTCAAAACACCACCCGCCAGGCAGCAAA